TTCAAAGCTGGAGGCACTGCAGGGAACCCAACTTTTGGTGGCCAGACCATTACACAGCCTGAGAACCTTTAAGAGGGCCAGATGTGACTGTAGAGATGAAGACAGGGAGGCTCAGACCAGCAGTAGCTCAGCGTTAATTTGTGGAGCAAGGATGTGTGACCAGATCCTTCTGATGCCCAGGCTTTTCCTATATGATATCACAAGGACTACATTTGAGAATGAATAAAGGAAAAGAAAAAAGAATTTGTCCACTGTTATCCATACCAAGGAACTTGGTATAAAGATATAAATATTCAAGTGGGTGAAAAAAAGGTAGACTTGTAATTGGGCACACGTAATTTCAAAGTATGTGCCTACATGTGAATATCACCCACCACATATATCACTGTAGCCCTCATAATTACAAAATTCTTTCCAACACCCAGATAGACTGCACTCTATCTACTGATCTTTCACCAAGGAACAAATGTTTGTCATCATGTTCCTTCCTTAATAAAATTGGATCCCCACTGTTGCTGTGACCAGTGCAGAGTCTGGGCTGTGGCCACCCAGAGCCTCTCTTCTCCTGGATCTGATACTGGAAGACCCCGTAGCCTCATCTTCCCAAGTCCTCCTCCACTTGTATGCACCACAGCTGACAGTCTAACAGACCCCAGAGTTCAGGCAAAGGCTCAAGGTGGGTCAGTGAACTCCTGAAATGTTGGGCAAAACTGTTTGTCTGAACAAAGAGGCATGCTTCTGGAAAGAGAATTTCACTTGTATTAGATTTTTAATGTAGCCTATGACTCCCAAAATGATAGGAAATACAACTTTAATTTGATCAGCAACAAAATGGATTTAAAATATAAACTCCAAAACTGATTACTGTAAAAAATAAGTATTCAGCTAATAATAAACATCCCTGGTGCTTAGACTGTGGTCTCTAAATACCATTTCCTACTAAGAGGAACCTGCACTCCTTGGAGAAATGGCTGATTCCAGATTTGGGGGAGGAAATGCACAAATGAGCATGAAATAGCTAATCATGCAAGGAAGCCAGCAAAGACTTGGTCAGGACACAAGGACTCAGGAGCCTTTGAAGATGGTGGAAGTTGGGGCAATTTGCATATCAATAAGAATGATGTCTATGACGGACTGAGACACCTCAAATCTGTTTAAATCCATGAGGATATAATAATTAAAAAATGACTCATTGGTGACCTTTGGTAAGTACTAGGGACTCATTTCATTATTTTGAAAAATTGTAAATAAAAATAGAGTTAAATTTTGCCTTTCTAGTACTAGCTATATACCTCAGGGTAACCAAATAAAGAGGAAACATTTCTTTTTATGGATAGATTCAAGCTAATAAATGAAGAAACAGTGACAGAATTAAAGCAATACCATTTTACAACCCTGATGAATAATGGTCTAAATGAAATAATTATCAATGGCTGCTAACATCATCCAAATAGAAATAGCCAGGTGTGCTTCCTCAAAAGCTTAATACCTCTTGCATCTGGGCAACTTCTAGACCCAACTCTCTATTTATAGGAAATACAGGAGTCAGAGGAATATTTTAAACAACACCAACAAACTTGGAAATGGTATAGGACACATAATACTGTTTCTTCAACAAAGAAATTGTAACAACAACCAAGAAATGGAAGGGAAACCTACAGCTTACAAAAGATGACAGAGAAATAGATATATAGACTTGATGTGTCAACCAATTATAAAACCTCATTGGTATCCTTATTAATAAATAAGTGGTACAAAAACATTTATGAGATGTTGGGGGGACTTTAAATGATGACTAGATATGTGATGATTTTAAGGAGTTACTGTTATTTTTAGGTGTGAAAATGGTATTGTAGTTATTTTTTAAATAATATAAGCTTTTTTCAACATGTAATCAAGGAAGCCCTGTATGAATATTAATTCTGAGGTATTGTGACTAGGTTATTTTAAAATAAAATTTTGAGCAGTCTTTTAAAATTCAAAATTCAAAACTTATTTTAAAACAGCATTTTGTGTGGACCTGGTGATTATGGGCAAATTTCAGGTAATTTGATTAATGTTAAAGCATATCACCAATATTTAATTTTTTCTATAGAAGAGAGAGAAAACCATTCTTATAACCTGTCACAGTTGTATGCTCAGGCTTACCATCCACACTGCTGCTCTGACTGTAAGTCAGGTAAAATAAAGGGATGCCAACGAGATGAAATACCAGTAGGATTCTGACAGTTATTTAATACCACTGATGTGTCATGTCAACACATTAGGAGGAAAAGCAATTCATGTTTGATTAGAACTAATTCTTTACCTGCTTTTTATTTCATACTAAAGAAAAAAAAAACAGTGCCAGCCAAAAGCAAATGTCTATTTTAAAAATTAATGATGTGATTTTGTAGTGGATTTTCAACCTGAGAAAACACTGATTTAGGACAAGGACTTGGATTAACCTTCACAAGTTACTAAAACACTCCAGTCCCCAAATTATGACCGAGCATTTCTAGACCAATGAGAAGGCGCGGCTGTGGGGGGAGAAAGGAGGACCGCGTTTGCCCTGCAGGGCTCAGCTTCCTCCTCCCGGCATCTGTGTGCTAACAGGCCGCTCCTCCTTGGGGAGGCCATTCCTTCTGAATTACACAGAAAACTCCATGCCCAGGGGCTTCTGCTCCCCCACTTCTCCTTCTTTTCCTGCCTTAGTAAACAGCTGCAGAATTAATCAAAGCTTCAAAGGCTGGTGATAACAGGTGGTGACAGATCGATGCCCTGCAGCCCAGGTGAATAGCAGCAGAGTGGCCAAGATGGACCTCACACCAAAGAACAATTTTCACTTCTCCGAAAAGAGAAAAACAAATGATTTTCTGGTGTCCAGATGCAGACACTGGACACTAAAGTGGAGTGCTGAACTGTTCTCAAATTCATGGGCTTTCCATAGGTAGTCATAGCAGAGAAGAAATGAAATACCTTCAGAAACTGAGGAGAAACATGCTAGGTAGCGGAATCACTAAATGACTGCATGGAGAAGGGCTTTAGGGGGTCTACTGTCCAACTGCCTCACCTGGTAGGTAGAGGGACACCCTTTACGCCCTCTCCCTGCAACTCTGTGCTCTGAAAGGAGCTGGACTTCAGAGCTAGCTGGAGGTGTACGTGGGGCAAAGCAGGCCCAGAGAGAAGACCTGCCTTGTCTTCAAGTCACAGCAAAATAGGAACAGCATTTGGCTGAGAACCCCTGGTTCCCTGAACAAGGCTCTTCACATTGGTCTGATAAATATGGTATGTGGCATTCAAGGACCAAAGCCATAGCTTAACCAGGTTAAGAACTGGGTGGAACCACCAGAGCAGGTGGGTAGAAAAGCTGCAGGGAGGCTGGCTGCCATAAAGCCATATTGAGTACTGCACACCTCAACCTCAGGGGGCATCCTAGGTGGATAAATTGACACACAGATCTCTCTGGCCTGCTTTGAGACTTTGAGGACTTGCCTAAGCTATTTTTTTTTTTAAAGTAACTAGTAGCAACTAGTAACATCAAGACATAGATAGGGCCTGGGTTTTCCCCTCTAGGATATTCAGAACATTCTCTCAAAGGTAGGTCAGGAAGGAGAGCTTTGATTTGTCACCAGCAGAAACTCTCCTGGAAGCTCAGTGCCAGCCTCTGTCAGCTGCACCCTGCAGACTGCCCATTTGCTCCAGAGATGCTCACTGCTTCACTGGCCTGGTCAAACTGCAGCCTCACAGCTGAGTGTGTCTGCCAGCATGGACTGGACTGGACTCCAGCCAGTGTGCTCAGAGGACTGTGGAAGGGGCATACTGACCCTCACCCCCACTGCAGAGAGGGAGGGGCACCCTCTATCCCCCTCTCCTGGCAACTCCAGAAGTCTTTGCTCTGAAAAGAGCTGAATCTCAGAGCCAGCTAGAGGTGTGTGTGGCGCAAAGATATTACAGATAGTCAGGGTCCTCTTTCTCTAGGAGCCCAATCCCTACAACGATGGCCTCTTTAAACAATCATGGGGTGGGGGCAGCTGGGTAGGGCCCCACCAGCCTCTTTGAGGACAGGACAGAGTGAGCCCTGAAGCATTCCCACAGCTCCAAATACCTGCATAGCGTGGGCACAGAACTCACATTCGTGCCTTCCGTCTCAGTGCTAGAGGACTAGGGGTTCCAGGCCACCCTCCAGAGCTCAGGCTATGGCGCCAGGGACCTGAACAAGGGCAGGAACTCACAGCCTCATCCACTGGCTCTGTCTTCACCCCAATAATCCCATCCCTCAAGGGGGAGAGGCCACAATTCTTAATATCACCTGAAAGACCACCTCCTGCCTGCCCCTGCCTCCTCGCCCCTTCCCCAGCTGCAAGAACTTTTCTTCCTCACAGAGAGACTTTGGATCAGGACTCGGGGCTGAGAGACCAGCCCCAGCCCGCCCGACCAGGATGGGCCTGACACATGGGTGCGGCCCAGTCATGCCAGGACAGCTCCAGTTTGCCTCCTGGGCATCCGCAGGGCGCTACAATTGCAGACCTGGCTGGGAAGGCAGACAAGCTGACACCCCCACTGAGGGGCCATCAGGGAAGCGCCAGCCTTTGGGTGGGGAGCAGTCAGGGCTGGGGGTTGATATGGCTGGGGATTGAGTGCGTGAATGAATACATGTATGAATGAACAGCGATGATGGCAGAGGATGGTGGTGGTGGACTACGGGGGAGCGTCCCAAAGAAGGTGCCCTCCGCCGCCCTGATGCTGCCCAGAGGTCCCTCATCCCCACGTCCTGACTCCTCTCGCCGAGCACAGAGAGACCGGACGTCGTGAGCCCCGGCGCGAATACCCTGCAGCCCGAGAAGCACCAGGGCGGGCACGGGGCAGCTATGGACTCAAGCCTGCATTCTGGCGGCGGGAAGTGCCTGCCCTCCGGGAAGAAGGCACCCAGGCGCAGCGGGTCCCGCCCTGCCCCTCGCAGCAGCCTTGGGGAGGTGCGGGGGGAGCCCGAGCCCGGTGTGAGGGTTGCAGCCCCTTACCTGCTGGCCTCCGCAGCCTCAACCCTGCTTAGAGCGGTCATCGCAGAGCCTCCAGCAAGAGACCCAAGGACCAAGCTGCCAGAACGCGCTGGCCCGACTCCCCGCCTGCCAGAGGGCCTGCCTCCTCCCGCCCATTGGCTGTCATTACGGGACGAGCCCGGCCCATTGGCTGGTCCTTCCCCTCTTGACTCCAACGCCACACAGATCCTACTACTTACTCCTTGGGTTTGCACCTCACCCTTCACAGTGAGGGCCTTGGGATGCCTCCATGTTCTTCCTCTTCAGCCCTCCGTCTCGGAGCTCGGTGCTCTCTGCAGCAACTGATTCCAGCCCTCCTCCAAACCCTCCCAACACTGAACTCCAGGGTAGCTTTCAACTTCTTTCCACACCAGAGGCATGATGAACGTGACAGTTGACAAACAGGGAGCTAGAATGCTTTTGTACACTTTTCCCAGGATTGGAAACTTGTGTTGCCCAGGTAAAAAGCTTTTAAAGGAGCCTGGGAAAGAATGAAGATGGCCAGACTGAGAGGGGAAAGCCTGTAGAAGCAGAAGGGCTGATTGGTGGTGCTGGTGGGGTGACAATGAACTGAGCCACGAGAATGGGCTCACACTCTGATCTCCCCAACTCTTCTGGCCTACAGGCCCCTTCCCTTCTATCCCCACCCCCCACCAATCAGGAAGGGCAGGAGAGGGCGATGGTACATGCCAGATTGTTTCATTCCCCAAACTCTCCCACCTCCTTGACCCAGCTGCACCATGGAGGGAGGGCACTGGCAAAACCAAAGCAGCACAAACCGTCTGAAATTGTTCTGGGAATTGGGAGCAGAAGCCGGTCTCAGGAGCAGGGTATCATTCTGCAGCTCCCACCTGGGGCCTCTATTGCCTGAAGGCCTAAGAGGAGGACAGGGCAAAGGACACTTCACTCCCAGTCTACCCACCAGAGCAGGAGGGCCCCTTGTCACTGTCCTCTCATCTTTGGTTCAAGTAAGCCATTAAAATTTCCACTTGCAACGTTTTTTTTTTTAGGGAAGGAAAGAAACATCAGTGTGTGGTTGGCTCTTACACGCTGCCCCCCACTGGGGACCTGGCCTGCAACCCAGGCATGTGCCCTGAGTGGGAATCAAACCAGCGACCCTTTGGTTTGCAGGCAGGTACTCAGTCCACCAAGCTAAACCAACCAGGGCATCAGCTGCAGCTTTTATGCAGCCAGCATACCTTCCCAGAGTCCTGAAGGGAGTAATCTATGCAAGAGAATCAGCTGCTGCTTCCCTGAACTTCTGCACTGTGGAGATAGGATAACAGGCGGCCTGAGCTGTTCGGGAGCCTCCAACAGGAACCTTGAGGCCCATGCCATTTTCACCCTACTCAGAGGGCAGGGACCAGCCCCCACCCCCATCAGAAAAGAGAGGCAACACAGGTGCTTCAGCTGCTGTTTATTGACATACAGGTAGGCTCTATAGCAACAGGCCTGGAGGCAGCTGGAGTGGGAAAAATGAAGGTGGAGGGTGGAGTGTTTGTCTGTAGTGACAGCTGAGTCGAGTGCAGGAACAGAAGTGCACAAGAAGGTAGGAGTGGGGAAGGCTGACGGGGTTAGAGAAGCAAGTGAAGGCCAGAGTCTGCTGACACTGGAACCAGTGCCTTCTCTAGCTGGCTGTCACCTGACCCCAGACGAGGCTTGTGGGTTCTTTGAGTGTACATTTCTACAGGAACTGGATGGACTGCACAAAGGAGAAGCAGGAGCTGTTGCCCTCTATGTTAAGCTCTGGAGCCTCCAGTCCTGCACCCCTGCCTCTCTTGCTTGGGTGGGGCCATAAGATGAGTAGCCTAGCTCCGGGCTACCTCACCTGAGCAGGGTCTTAAAAGTAGCCGTGTTTTACAGAGGCATTAGTCTTCCTCCCTGGTGTCCCAGCCCACCAGTGCCACACCACAGCCCTAAGTGAGCACTCACTATAAGCATTGCTGGCCTAATGGATGGGTTGGGGGAAAGGGATGGGATAGGGGTCGGAGGAGCTTCCGGAGCCCATCACGGCACAGGCACTACACGCATGGTGTTAGTGAAGCCAGAGCCAGGACGCCACCCAGTCAGCACAATGACCACATCTCCCTTCTTGAAGAAGCCTCGGGCCTTGCCTGAAGGAAGAGAAGAGAAGCGTTGAGTCAATGCTAAGAGAGGCAGGTATGAACCTGGGACACTGCCCCACAACCCGGAAATAGGAAGCAGGGCTGGCTATTACTTTTTTACACCACAAGGTGGCACCAGCCTCAGAGCCCAGGCAAAGGGGATGAGGGCAGTCCTGAGATTTCCTTATCATTCCAATGGCAGGCAGAGTTGGCAGGGACCTAGGACATCATTCATTTTATACTCTAGGCGTGGAGAGCCTTGCCTAAGGTCGGAGCTAGCTGCCTCCTCTCACCCCATGGCATCCTATACTCACACAGGGACAAAGTCCATATCAGTACACAATCTGTGTGCCAACCAACGGTGCAAGTGCAGGAGCTCTGACCAATTTTATTTAAAAAACCTCAGTAATAAGATGCCAAAGAACAAACAATCCTGATTATCTGGATCCTTTGGCTTGGGGGCCTAGACTAGAAGAGTGAGGAGACAAACTGTGCTGCTCAGACCCATAGCGCAAAGTCCTCTCTCCCCTCCTGGGCTCAGCCCAAGACATCAAGGAAGGGGATGGAGGAATCAAAGAGAACATTCCCAGTGAGAGCAGCCAGGGCTCTTGCAGCCTAACGTCTCATGTGTCCCCTTCCATAGTGCCCCAGGGAGCCCGTGTGCAAGCAGCCTCACCCCAGGTTCGAACCCTTGTTCCCAGCCACGTACCAACATTCATGGCCAAGTTCACCCGGAGGTCCACATCCTCAGCCCAAGCCTCCTGCACTGGGTCCTTACACAGCACGGGGAAGATGCCACGGTACAGGTGGGCCTGGCGAGCCGTCTGGTGATTACGGGTCACAGCAATAATGGGGGCACGGGGGCGGTACCTGGCCACCTGGTGAGCAGACCTAAGATGGGATAAAGACAGGTGGAAGAGATCTTTAAACAGTGTCCCAGAAGCCTCCCAGGAAGCCCCTTAGGGGCTTCGACAGCATACCCTCTAATCCAACTCACTATGCCAGCCTGAGGCTCTCTGGCCATTTCAACATCTGCTCCCTGGGCCCCGCTGTGGGAGCCAGGAACTGCCTCCCATGGCTAGGGCAGGCTCCCTTCCTGTATCCCCCCCAGAGTACCACTTTTCTCCATAGCTGTGTGATTCATCTGCCCTCCACCCCTCCCCAGACCAGGGCCCCAGGATCCTACTGACCCAGCATGGTCAGTCTCGCCCACTTTCCCCACATGACTCATAGCTGGCAGAATGCCCCCTCCAAACTTTTCCATTCTGGCACAGGGAGGCAGCCCTGGCTCAGCCTCACCAGCACCCACTTCTCTTGATGCCAGTAACTGCTATAAGCCAAGCAGCATGTGAATAGCACCTGACTCTTGACATCTGCAAAGAACAGGAACAGAGCCTACCGCCCCCTGGGAATCTACAACACAAGCCACCTTCCCTACTGGTGGGCCCTGTCCCCACCCTACACATCTTCCAGGTCCCTGAAACAGTTCCAGCAACAAGAGTTCTAGCGATTGAGTCAAATCTGAGTATCTAAATGAGGCTGAGAAATCTGGATGCTACCCAGAGGGCGAGACCAGGAGCTGGAAGTGCTGGTGTGGGAGGCTCTGCCCATGCAGGTTCCTTTGGAAGGCAGGCGTCCCTCTGAAGCCCTGGTGCCAGGTACTTCCTGTATACTTGCACTTACAGATGTGTCTCAGGAGTTGGGGAAGAAAATGAAGGAGGGACTGGGCCCCAGAAGGCAAGCTATGAGAACACTCAACAGGTGTCAGGGAAACTTAAGCCATGTTACAGCAGAAACCGCCCTGCTTAGAGCCTGGCCTCCGTGCAAGACTCTCAGAAGGAAGTAATTGCTGAAGTCAGGATGGGCTAAGCGTGAAATTCCAGGAGACTGAAGCTAAAAATAGTCAGATAGTGAAGGCTGGACCTTTTCATAAAGGTCAACCCCAATCTCTGGAGCTGCCTATCCTAAGTGCTGTGCTGAGGGGATTGGCAGAGATCGGAAGTCTGCAGGCGGCTCCCCTGCCGCTGCTCGGTGCACGGGGACCGCCTGTCTGGCTCGTCTCCCAAGGAACCCCAGCTGCCTGCAGGGAGGGACGAGGAGCATGCCCCAAGACTGGGGGCGTGAAGGATGGTAACTCAATGTCCAGGACTAGGAAGGGGGGTCCCAAGTCAGTGGTCAAACATAGGCCTCAGCCTGGCTGCATGACAACACGGTGACCTTTCCTGAGCCAGAAATGTCTTCCGAGTTCAAAGACAGATGGACATGCACTGACCAAATGGCATGTCAGTGAACAGCACTGTTTTTCCAAAATGAACTTTTAAAGAGCACACAGTAACTGAAAGAATCAAAGCTGGTGGTCTGCTACTACTTTACGACCAGCTTTTAAATACCAAGTAATCAGTTGTCTATCTGCAGTTACGCAGTGAAGTCTCTCTAGGTTCATCTTAATGTGTAGACTTGCTTTGGGTCCAAATGGTCCCCCATACTTTACAAGTGCTGCCTGGAGTCCTGAGCCCAGGGGATGGGTGCTGCTCGTTCCTGGACCCCAGAGGAAGGCCAAAGGAGCTCCTTTCTTGCAGGGTCCAGGTGGCAGGCAGCAGGGTCTTACCTTGGCTCGGTGCTATCTGAGCATCATTCAATGGGCTGCTCCCAGGACCCCCATGGAAATGTGCCACCGAGCAGGGCATTTCCAGGAGCCGCTGCCACGTCCTACCTGCCAGACTTGGTGAGGACGATTATGGCCCCACTGCAGCACTTGAAGGAGGCCTCCACGGCACCCACGGCGGCAGCTTCTGTGGGGTCACTGGTAATGGGCGCCAGGCGGCGGAGTTCCTCAAATAATTGCAAGTGGTAGATGGCGGCCTCTGCCTCACGGGCAATCTAGGGGAGCAACATCCGTCCAGAGGGACGAGAGGGGGACAGAGCTTTGTCAGAGCTGTGTTGCAATGGGAGAGGGAGGGGAAAGAGTCCCACAGACAGCTGATGAGGAACATGTCCCTGGGTGCAAAGGCTAAGAGAAGCCCAATCACTATAGGTTCTGAGCTGAGCAAGATCAAGACTCACAGGAACCAGTCCTTCACCAGGTGCCTGTGACACCACCTGTGCCTACCGAGCTGAAAGACCCTTTGGCTCTGCCCAGCCCTGAGCTCCCTGCAGATGAGAAAAGAGGCTCTGAGCCCAGGGCCCTGGCTGTCTTCTAGAGCAGCTGGAGCAATACGCTGGTTATCCTACAGGGTTACCTGCCTTGAAGGCCCTACCTGCCAGACTCCGTCAGAACTATCAAAGCTGCCGCTAAACACTTATAAGAAGCCTCCACGCTGCCCATGGCCATGGCTTCCATGAGGTCTGTGGAGTGACTTGAGGCTCGCACAAGTTCTTCAAACAGCTTGCGGTGGAACATGGCTGCCTCAGCCTCCCGAGCTATCTGTAAGGTTTAGAGGGAAGGGCAGGCAAGGAAGAGGGAAGAAGGAGGGGGGGTGGGGGAAGAGACAACAACATGGAAAGACAGAATGGGGAATTAATCAGAGAAAAAGGTAACCTTAGGTTAATTGGCTAAATCTATCCTTCAGGCAGATGCAAAGAGGCAGGGTGGTACAAACCTGCTCAGGGGTGTGTGGAGAATTCCCAGCTCAGCTGCTGGGGCTTCCCTCCATCAGAGGGGGCATTGGTCCTTCCATTCTGAAGGAACTTTTGAAGGGGGCGGGGAGTGGAGGAAGACAGTATGGCGGCAGGCTGTAGCACCTTAGCATGGAAACATGCCCAGCCTGGGCCCAGGCCACACCCTGGCAGGACTTGACCACACTGCCTTATGACACAGTTTATAGGAAGGAACAGGCAGGCCCGCTCCTCACATGGCTGTCTGGTTCCCCAGGGATTTCCGCCCAGCTTCCAAGCATGCATGGAGCACTGGACTGGGCTCCAGGCACAGGGGTGCTATGGAGCTTTCCAAATGGCCCGCCACAGAAACACACGAAGCAGTGCCGAGAAGCTGGGCGCACGCACAGCCAGAACCATGCAGCCCAGCTGCACTCTAAGCAGGAGGGTGGAAAACTGGTGAACTTGGGAGGGTACACAGAACAGCCACGTGGAGACAGATGCCTGTGGAAGCACGCGGGCAAGTGTAACAAGACATCTGATGAAATCTTACGATTAAAAGTCATGAGAAAGCCACTGAGTTATTTACAGACCACCTGCTCAGATAATACCCAGAATTAGAAAGAAAATTTGAGTTTTAGAGGATTACAATGCAATCACCAGCATCTTAAGATAATGTATAACAGGTTAGGGAAGAATCAGCAACATCACCTCATTAATTTGACAGTGTGAGGACACGAGTGGCAGGGTTCATCACTGGGTTAAAGGTTTTCTCTCTGCAAGAATGGAAGGCATGCAGGCCGAAAGACAGGACAGAATAGGGGCGGGAACTGAACCATACCTGGTACTGCCCAGCCCTTAGTTACAGGTCATTAACTCCATCAGGTGGACAGAGGAGAAAGCAGTGGACAGTTAAGAGAAGCTGTCAGCCAGTGTTAACTAGGGACATGGAAAGGAGAGGCTGGTCCCACCTGGCCTGGACGCCATAACTTATCTTTCGAGCAGGGCCATGTAATCCAAGCCCTGTGGTTCTAAGATGTCCATCTATTATAAGAAAAGACTGGAGTCTGGAAAACATGGGCACGGAAGTCAGAGCACAGAGCCTGATTCTTAGTCTCTGACCCCAGATCTGGCCTGGTCTCTGTGAGATAAAGTACTGTGTTGCAGGACACAGCACTGGCTTTAAAGCCAGATCTGGGTACAAACTCAGGCTTTATTATCATGTAACCCTCATCTATAAATTGGGGTGACATCTGTTTCTCACAGGGGTTATAAAGATCACCTCAATCTACATAGGTACTTATCAGACATTTAATAACTGCAGTGAATATTTAACGCAAAGTGTATAATTAAACACATCCCAACTAATTCATTTTACAGATAAGGTGCTGAAGCCTACATGATTTGCCCACAGGCACACGAAGTCCTAGCACAGTCCCCTGGCTCAGAATTTAGATCCCTCTTCTACCTCTGAGGCCATGCATCTAAGCAAGGTAATTAGAGAGAGGGGATGTGTGGAGAAACCCATAAATATACCAGCAGGCACTCTACATGTGACTGGGTCAAGGCCCACCATCTCCTGGGGGAGAGAAGCACTTTCCCAGCACTGGGGCACACCTGTGAAGGAGCTCAGGGCTCCTGGGGACATCCGCAAAGATAGCCCAGAAGAAAACTTTAGTCAAGATGTCTTGGTTCACCACTGAAAAGGTGTTAAATTGTAAATGACAAGTCTTCTCCAGAAGGCAGTTATACATAATAATTGGACACACAGAAAATAGAGGAGGAAAGGGAGATATCTAGTCCAGATGTTCTTTCTTGGGAGTTGTTTTAAAACAAATTTGGGGGAAAGCAGGAGAGGGAGTGTCACGCAAAGGACGTTGGGTCCTTGGTTGACCAAAGGGGAATAGGAAGGTTAAAGAAAAACCATTTCAGGATAACAGACAAGGTTACTAAGCTACACCTTATAAACACTGACCCAGGACTATTGTGAGAAAGTTAATTTGTAGGACTCATTTTCCCAGGCATGAGTAGCTCTGATAGTGGATCCCTATGTTAACTCTTCAGTAAGCTCTAGAGCTGCAGCAGACAGCGGGAGGATCCGAGCACGGAGCCGCGAGAAGGAGCCAGGCAGTGGCAGAGCAGAGCAGCCTGCCTGGTTTCCTGGGAGAAAAAGGAAAGTCACCTCCAGGACACCTCCACATGCTCTCACTACAAGGCCAGCCAGGATCAGCCATCCTTCTACCTGTCTCTATTTGTGGACCTGTCACCTGTCACTTAAAGCCCACTTTTCAGTCTGGATGAGTGCAACAGCTCAGCGCAGCAGGTCCAGCTGCAGTCACCATGCAAAGCCAGCTTACAGTGAACTTAGTGTGGACAGCGGCCTCCAGAGCAGGCCCAGAGGCCCCCGTGGGGGAGGCACCTGTCTGTGGGACAGGTGTGGAGTCAAAATAGAAGCCAAATGAAGAGGATGGCTAGGAGCGGGAGTCCTTGGCCTTTTCCAGAGTAGGGCAGAGGAACTCAGGTCCTCTGAGCTTCCAGAGGAAGAGGCATAATTATCCCAGTATGTGACCCAAGGGAAGGAACCGGAGTGACTGGGCTATGTCTAATGAAAGAGAAGCCTCCAAAACAAAAGGAAATGAAGGGGGCTGTGGGTAGGGAAGGTAGAACAGAAAAAAAAAAATACACATGCCCCCAGCACACACCTCCTCACTCTTACTGTGATTTGAAAGGTAACAGAGATGTGGGTGCAGAAGCCTAAAAGGCTGTATACCAAGCTGCCTCCACCCCAGCCCAAGCCCGAGCCCGGGAGGTGGGCAGGCTCTACCAACTCACCAGGTGCTGCATGCGAACAGCCTCCAGGGGGTAGTCCCCTTTGGCTGTCTCCCCAGATAGCATGATGCAGTCGGCTCCATCCAGGACGGCATTGGCCACATCGCTGCCCTCTGCCCGGGTGGGGCGGGGCTTCTTGATCATACTCTCCAGCATCTGAGAGAGGATAGAGCATTAGTGAGACATGGCCCAGGCCATCTTCAGAGATGAAAGACTGCAAGCTCAACCCCTGCAGTGTGGGCGTACAGAGGACAGCTTTATATAGGTGCATAGGGGAGGGGATATGCAGGTATGTGCCTATGACATAGGAAAGGGTATGTGGAAGAGACCAGGGCAAGCATGCATAGTGAGGAGTGGAACATACCTGCGTGGCACAGATGACAGGCTTCCCAGCTCGATTGCACCGCCCGATCATCATCTTTTGAGCAAGAAACACCTTCTCTGCAGGAATCTCAATGCCCAGATCACCACGAGCCACCATGATCCCATCACTGGCTTCCAAGATCTCATCAAACCTGATGGGGAAAGGTGGAAAGAGACAGATCATGTGAACAGGAGCCACCAATATGGTGAGGCAAAGAATTTTTTCCCAGGCTTCTCTGATTCAGGTATCCTTGCAGAATGACCATCCATGATGTCACTATGGATGCATGAAGGTGAAGGTGGTGGCGTGTGTCAGCTACCTTAGTACCCCAAAGGGACCCAACAGTCTGCCGAGTCTTTCTTCAACACTAGCATGGATACTTCACTGGGGACAGGGGAGGGGGCAAGGTTCCATTCTCAAGCCCCACAGGCTCACTTCTTCCTTATCTATATCTTATGAGGCCCCTCCTGAGGACTCTCTGCCATCTGCACTCCAACCAACATTTCCAAGCCAGAAAGGAGAACCAAGGCCCGTCTGTGTATAGCTCCCAATACAAGGATCCAATGGCCTCTTCCAGCCAAGGACACCCAAGGACTGCTCTGTGAGGCTGCCCCCCTCCAACTTGCTGAAGGGAAGCGGACATATAGGTCTGACTAGCCTAAGGCCAAGGTCAGCTGGCATATCAGGATGGCAGAGGGAGGACCCTGAACTGCCTGTTACAAAGGACAGATACACAAAACAAGGTCGTAACAGTGAGTAGGGCTGCACCTTCCACTCTCTACAAGCACACATCTAATCCACAGGAGAAAGTCTCAGGTCTGCACTGCATGCAGCCCAGGATGGCTATGAATGCGGCCCAACACAAAACCATAAATTTACTTAAAACCTTCTTTTTGCTCATCATTTTTCGTTAGTGGTTGTATTGGCCCAAGACAACTGTTCTTCCAGTGTGGCTCAGAGACGCCAAAAGGCTGAATGCCCCTTAGCTGCACTGACTTGTGTTTCTAGTAGGAAGCCAGAGAAGACCAGATGTCACCAAGCTGGCCACAGTCATTTGGCTCTAGCTGGTGAGCACTGGGGAGATGGTGGGCTGAGCTAGGACAATCTAAGCCTAAAAGAGAACCACATGCGCTCTCTGGGAAGCTGATACCAGGACAGAGCTAGCCTGGTCATGGAGCGAGCTGCTTTCTCAGTTAAGATTCAGAGGCTGTAACCTTTAGCATCAACACCAGGCCCCGAGCTTCCTTCCACACAGTCCCTTCCTAAGAGCTTGCTGCCTTCCCTCTGGGTCCCCACATTCCAGCAGACACAGCAGTGCTCCTGAGCAGGAGTACAGCACGATGGCTCCTGACCCTGCCAGCAGTGACCCTGTCCCTCCAAGACAAGTGCTTGGGCCTCTGGAACGATGTCAAGATGCTGGCATCCTAATCACCTGGAAAACATTTTTTGTTTTGTTTTGAAATGCCAATGCTTTCCATTTCTCCCCTTCAGATAGTGTACTTCAGTGGGTCCGGAACAAGCTCAGCAATCTGAACTCTGAGGCACAGGCAGCCAGGTAACTCACAGGGTGCATCTGGCTGGTAGAGAGCTGGTCTGGGGCTAAAGCACAGGGGACAGATGGTGGGGCACTTACCTCCGAACCCCCTCATGATTCTCGATTTTGCTGATTATCTTGATGTTCTTTCCTTTTTCTCCCAGGACCTTCCTGACTTCATGGACATCGGATGCTTTGCGGATGAAGGATGCGAATACCATATCTACATCCTGCTCTACCCCGAACTTCAGATCCTGGATGTCCTTTGCTGACACGGCAGGCAGGTCCACAGCAGCCCCAGGGAGGTTCACACCCTTCTTACTGCCCAAAGAGCCACCATTCTCTACCTCTGTTACCAGGAAGTTAGCGCCTGTGTGAAATGGAGTGGGTAGAGAGGCAGATCAATGAGCGTACAGCCTCAACAGGAAGGCAAGAAGCGAAAAGCTGCTGCCTCATCGCCAGGACAGTGAACTGGGAAGCAGCACCTTGTGGGCCGTGCAGCCATAAAGCCAGAGTTCAAATTCCAATTCCACTAACTGTGCAACCTTGGGCAAGTCAATTAACCACTCTGTGCCTCAGTTTCCTCACCTGTTAAATATGAATAATATCTAATGTAAATTTAAACAAATTATTATTTAAAACGCTTAGAATAGTGCCTGAAACTTACAATATGAGCTGTCATTCCCATACACTGGAGTCCTGCATATATCACACTGAAGGGTGGAAGAAGGAAGCAAAAATCCCAGAGTAGTGATGACACATAAAAAGAAATCATATATGCTCCCCAAAAGCACGACTAAGCAGAATGGAAGTCAGTTTTTGAGGATAAGGAATTATAAAGGAAATCCTGAAAATATACACTATCTTGCTATGAGTCAAACAAGCTTCCTCTCTTCCTGATATCCAGAAAATTTAGAGATTAGAGCTGGTTTTAAACATACCTTTCTCCTTCACCTGCAGAGAAATGAGACCATCATCCACGTAGATCTTGCTGCCCACTTCCACCACCTTGCAGATGTTCTTGTAGTCCAGCCACAGGGTGTTTTCGTCACACTTTTCCATGTAGGCGTCGTCCAGAGTGATCTTGAGAGTGGCCCCTTTCTTCAGCTCCACCTCCGCGGTGCCGCTCTACAGACGGGAGAACAAGCCATGAGTCCAAACTTGAGAGGCCAGGCCCTCCTGGCAGGAAAAGGAACACTTTCCTCCAGGGAACAATGCTCAAATCTCAAGTAGAAGTTAACAATAAAGGCTTTCCCCTTGGGAACAAATAATCACATTGTCAAACTTAGCATATTTCAAGGAAATAAATCCAGAAAAATCTACAATATTTAATTATGGTATTTAATGACGGGGAAAAGAGATAAATTACTCCTCATAGGTAGTAAGTTTGGAAGCAGTGTTTTCGAGTAAAAAAGGTTCCTTTTTGGTATTGTTTCTTAGCCAAGTAGATTAAATCAACATTTTTTTACAGTGATAAATAAAACCCTCATTTATAGACCTAAACTCTGAGGAACGTGGCCGTCAGCAGGGCAGAGACGGCTAACGACATCTCTGGCTTCCCGACTTCTGCACCTTCCTTCTCACCTCCGCCCAGGATACTCACGCCCTTGATGAGCCCCGTTCGGATCTCAGGTCCTTTAGTGTCCAGGGCCACCGCAACTGGCCGGTAGAGAATGGGATCAGAGGCAAAGCTTTCTGTGGCTGCGCGCACATTCTTGATGGTCTCTGCATGGTACTGGGAAAGGAGGAGAAAGGATAAGCATGCTCCCACACACTGGGTGGGATCCAGCACTGGGCTGGAGCTCACTGCTCAGGAAAGACCTATGGATGCTCAGACCTTCTCCACCACCACCCAGCGTCCGCCCCATCTATGCGCTAGGTCCCCTCTCCCTGCCAAGTGCAGCCTTCTGGGCTTCCACCCACTTCTACCATGCGTGTGCACACTCACTCGAGGGCAAATCTCAGAAACCCATTAAAGGCATGGGTGTAAACATATCTTAACATACGGGAAGCCTGTGTCCCCTCAGTGATCCTCTTTTCCTCAGAACTCATTAAAAAAAAAAAAAAAAAAAAAAAAGGCAGACAACAGGAGTAAAAGGCCCAGGCTTATGTTTGGATAGTACTGACCTATCAGTCAATGTTAGACAAATAGATTTGGTAATTCTGAGCTTTTTCTCTATTGATTCCATCTACAACTCAAACTCAAAGTTATTTAAGTAAGCTAGCAGTAACCCAAGCTAAACAAACAGTGGCCTATCGCTAAGGTCATGCAGGCCTGTTTTCACAATTACTTTCTAGAGTCTGATTAGAGGCAAAGTGAACCGGGAGAGGTGGGAAGGTGCCCTTTTCTGGATTGCCCTTTGCTACTTCTGTTTCTCATTTGCAACAAATCCTGACTTTAATCTCTCTTAAGCCCTTCCTCTTTTTCCATTTGCCATTACTGTTCAACTCAAAGCTAAAGTGTCAAACTAAAACTTGTTTACATTATGTCATGTAATATCAGAACAATTTCAGACCAGCTTCCAAAACCCAGATCCCAGAGACAACCTCATCCTGGCCAAAAATCTAAAACAAACTCACAAGAGGGGCTTGTCTTAAAAAAAAATCCTAATTTTAATCTGTAAACAAGAGTTTACAGCACATATTATCTCCAAATGCCTCTTGCAGTTAAAAACAAAACCCAAATCCCTGAGCAGCTGCAGCAGACAGCACTTGCCCTTGCCATTTCAGGGTGCACAGTGTTATTTTACTGGATGGAAGAGGCTATGAACTATGAAGCCTAGTTAAAGGTCAACTTCTTCAAATCTATTTCTGCTCCTTCCCCTGAACACAGGAGCCCCGGATCCCTGATCCAGCAGTAGGCATCAATAGTGAACTCACCTTCACTGATGTCTTTAGCTCTCTCTCTTTGGGCTAACTCTTGTGGTAACTTCTGCTGACTCCTGCTAAGGACCCACACCTTTGGAAAATTACATAATGCCATTGCAGATGTGTCTTAACCTGCCTGGGGTGCCCGCCGAGCAGTTCCTCTGAACTTGGTCAGGCCCCCATGACATTTGGAGGCCAGCTACCTGCCAGGCCATAGGCTGTTTATGGAACATGGGTTAGGGAACCTATGATGCAGAGTCTCATGTTTCCAGAAAGAAGAAATTCACTTCTTGAATTGCTCTTCCTGAGGCTTTATTTTTAGTCTAAACTTAATACCAACTTCCAAATGCCAGAGGGCAACACCTCACTGCCTGCCCTTACAGGGCAGCATTTCATTCTGAAGAGGAAGTACAGAAGTCAAGAGTGGGAAAAATTTGCCTCATCCATTACTCCTCTATCAATGCCAGTGTGAAATCCCAGGGCCTATAGTTGAGCATGAAGGTTTTTAAAAGGCACTGTCCCTCATGGAGCCCCTATACTCCTCAAACGAGTTTGTTATGGACTTTGGGACAGAAGCAGGAATGAGGACTTCCTGATACCTGCCACCTTGTCTTTAGGTAAGGTCTCTGTCCACAGGTCAAGTCAGCTTGTCAACAGCCCAAGCACTAATACAATCCTACCAAACTCTTGGGGAAGTGTTATGACTTAGTTTTATCTTAATGCACCAGAACTCCTGGAAAGGGAGAGGCTGGGGACGCAATGCTGATGAGTGTATGAAATGTCAGACAGTTATTAGTGCATTAGACTCAGACCTTAACTTTCCAAGTAAAAACCCTTCTCCTGGACCCACCCAGTGATCTTGGGTCTAAGCTAGGCCAGAATCAATCTGCATGGTGACCTTTTGGTTTATAACTGCAACAGGAGCTATTACAGAAATCCTGGGGTAGGAGTGTCAAGCCCTGTGGCCCAGAACCTAATGGCTCAAAGAGGTTTCCAGCAGAACCCTCTACTTTCCTTTGTGAGGGCTAACGGCAGCATAGGTGTATGGGAGAACCATGGCTAATGACAAAGAAGGTCGTCTTTGTTTAAGGAGACATGGCCACTTGAGATGGCAAGAGAAGGGGAAAGGAGAGTAGGGACGGGCTAGTGAAGGCAATCTTCCCATTGGCTGTTAACTCCCAGTCTCGTTCTAGCCTGGCCCACTGTGGATAAATAAACGCTGCATCCCCACCCTGTTTCCACAAGCCATCCCAGTAGCCCAACTGCCCAGCCGAGGCTCACCTCATGAGTTCCATGAGAGAAGTTCAGACGAGCCACATTCATTCCAGATTTGATCATCTCCTTCAACATCTCCACTGATCGGGAAGCTGGGCCTAGTAAAAATGTTTTCAAGACATAAGTCTTAATATTAAACTTGCTTAGGTTTAAAGAACTCTTGATATTTTTTTCCCCATATACTTTTTCTCCCCTAAACAGCTCAGAATTCTTTTAAAAAGCCACATTCATGGGTATTACTATGTTAGTCCACATTCTTGATTTAGGGGAACACTTCTACCTCCTTCAAATTCTGCAGGCTCCCATCTATCAGCAGGAAAGCCTAGAAGACAGACCAGCAGGACCAGCAAGAAAGCTGGTCAGCCAGCTCTCTTTTTCCTCTCCCTGAAGCCCAGCCAGATGTCCAACCACAGCATCTTGGTTGCACAGAGAATGGCAAAAAGACCTTTCCTAGGTGTTCACGATGAAGCTCCTTTCCTAGGAGCACGATGCTCCTGTGCAGACATGCTAAGGAAGACGCCCTCTAAATTTTTCTGCTAATTTTACCTTTAGCAGAAAAGGTAAAGCATACTAATTCTTTATTGTAACTTTCTATGATCTGAGTTCCCACAGAATTCTATGTAGAGAATCTGGCTCAGCACCCAGGTTTGCTACATTTAATCTTTTCAGGAGAGAAAAGTTCACTGTCTCACGAAGGCCTGCTTGGAAGGAGGGGCACACCCACTCACCGATGGTACAGATAATGCCAGTGTTCCGGGCCGTGATGGGTGGGGAGTCAATGTCCAGGCGGCACATGTGCTCCAGGAACGTGTCCGCCATGGCCGCATGCAGTTGCTGGGTCTGAATGAAGGCAGTCCCAACGTCGCTGTGGGGCTTCGACATGACTTCTGAAGTCCTGGGCCCAGGGGAATTGAAGAGCGTGATCAGTCCCAGCAGCCTGGATCTCTAATACACAGCTTGGCACAGGAGACTGTTTCCCATTTACACATTAACTCAATAAGCACGGTTGGTGCACAAACCACAGGAAAGCCTGCACGCGCTGGCTACATGGGTGCTCCTTTGATTAGGCTAAGGGTTCACGGGACCACGAGCAAGTTAAAGCCTCATACTCAATGCATGTACTTAGTAGCCAGGCACCCAGTAGAAGAAGACCTCCCTCACACTGGTCTAGTTTCTACCTTGACAGCTTTCCTGCTTAATCCTATAAATAACATCATGTTACATGCACTGAAAGAGCTTCCTAAAAAGAACATTGTAACCATCTTTCAGTGATATAAAGAACTGACTCCTAGTTTAGAACCTAAGTAACTCTAGATCTTTGTATGAAGAGTTGTCTCAAAGCTACAAACATCTGCTATGAGTTGGGGCACCCCCACTGCCTCATAACAATGATGACCCAAACCCAAAGTTGTGTTCCTGGTTGTGAAGACAACCACCACTCAGGCAGTCCTCTTAGCTCTGGAGTCCTAGCTTTTCACTAACCCAAAGCACACATAAATTCATTCTCCCATTCACGCTAGGCCTCAGTAGGTCCTAGCCTACTGACAAGCAATAAAAACCAGTCCCTGGACATGAAGCCAAGTCCCACTGGAACCCTGAATGCAAATTTTTTCATACCAGGAGTTTATACCTAAAAACCACATCTACTTTTGATCAGAAGGACTTTCCAATGTACAAAGCAATTTGCATAAAACCAAGATAGCCCTGGCTGGTGAGGGCTGGACTGTGTGAACCTAAAGGTCACCAGTTCAATTCCCAGTCAGGGCACATGCATGGGTTGAAGGCCAGGTTCCTAGTTGCAGATGTGTGAGAGGGAACTGATCTCATTTCTCTCTAAAAATAAATTTTAAAAAAATCTTAAAAAAGAAAATAAAACCTCCTAAAACAAAGCCTCAAATCACTCTTTAAAAACAAAAACAAAAAACAAAACCAAAGATAGCTACAATGGCCCTGGTCTAGTTCTAAAATTATTACAACTACATCTGCAACACGAGGAGACTAAAGCTGCTTGTCAAATCTTTCCCCAACTGATTTCTGACGCACCAACCCGATTCCCTTGTTAAGTCCAATAAGCGCACCACTCCCAGTAACAAAGACCATCTGTTCCAGGTAATTAACCAGCCCAGGTTAAAATCCTGACAACTTTCCTGACCTTTGCTTTTCTTCATTACAGACTTACAACTAAACCCAGCCAGTTAGTTAGGTGATTTGAGTCAAAGAAGTCAGAAGCTTCTGGCCAGTGCTTTGAAGAGCTGTGAGGTAAGGGTAGAGAAGAGTGACACTCATCAGAAGGCTGTCCCTTTTCTCAAGTTCTCAGACCAAGGGCTACTGCTTCCCAAACCCTCGAGCCTCAATGCTTTAGCCCAGGCTCAGATACAAATCCCTCTTTAGCCCTGTCCCACACCCTCCTACAACTCAGGGCTCCAAATGAAAGCCTCCTGTCCCCCCATACATACAACCCTTACTCCTTTCTCCTTCCCTGACTTGGCTGGCTTCTTTGGGTGGCTCTGGCAGAGCATGCATCTAAACTCATCTCGTCCGTTCTCAAGAGTTTTTTGTGACCAGTTGAGGGCAAACCTTCTATCAGCTTTGGAAACTGATGGCTACAAGTCCACAACTATAGAATCTAAAACTTTTAAAATAGGAAAATAAGATACCAGTTAACTATTCCACACGGCATTCCCCAACTCCATAATACATACATACCAGGCCCCAGAATCAAAATCAACCCTCTCCTTGATAACCTATTTGGTTCTATACCTCTAGCACTTGGACGTATCCCAGTGTTGGCTAAAAACCTTTTCATGTATCTTAATGCCTCTTTGTCAAAATCAAAGTTGCACTTCTATTTTCCCATGCGCAAATCTGAGGAACTTCTGAATTCCAGGCAGGATGGCCTGGGCAGCCAGGTCCCTGTACTTGCACTCTCGGTTGAAGCAGGGCTATGAAGCCTTCAGAACACCCAGCTGGGCTTAGGTAAGTCTGGCTGTTAGGGAACATTACTGAGGAGGTGGTACCAGGTGTCACATGGAGCCAACTGGAACACAGGGGCCTTGCTGGGGCCTCCCTCCAAGGGGAGAGAGCCTTCCAGTCTTTAGACTGTGCTGTAAATAAAACACAATCTGAATGACCGGGTTGGAGTAACTAACCCCACTCTTCTTAAAAAGCATCAGCTGGCTCTTCACTAGACCTGAGACATTACCGTCTCCTTTCTAAGACCCGGCTGGGGCCACTGATTATCAGGTCATACCTTGTGTTCTCTGGGCTTGGGCTTCCGGTGACATAATGCTTTTTTGGCTCAGGGTGGCTCCTTGGCCCCACTTGCAAAGACTGCTCGGAGCTGAGTAAGGTTTTCCCTGCAGAGCTGTACAAGGATTAAGGTAAAGCTGAGTGTAACTAAAGCTCTTTTGGGTAACAGAAAAATTACCTTAATAACCAGGTATCCAGGTGGTGGCTGCTCCTAGAGATCCAGCTATGTTACAAAGGAAAACACAAGCCTCCCAATAAAATACCAAGAAGCTGATAACGGAAAATTCACAGGTAGAAGTGAGCTCTTCCTGGCTCCTCTATGATGCTTTATCCCCTCCCCTTATACCCAAAGATCTCTTCCCCTGTAAAGTCTCTCTGTGTGGTTTACTAACATTTCACTATTCTATACAAAAACCTGGTCCCCGCTCCCTGTTCAGATGGAAGGGACACTAAATTAAACACATAGGAAAGGACAGGCAGGGTGACTACCAAAACCACATGCCATCTGGGTGGTAGGAGTCCAGCGAAATTTCATCTTTATTAATACATTTACTGATATGAAATACTCTTAAAATAAAAAAAATTACAATATACCTCCTCCAGAAGCAAAATATTTACAAGGATCCTGGTAAAAGTGTTGGAATGAAAACAAATTGGAAGCCCCCAGTTCTATTAAGCAGCTGCTGCTTTACGCACTTCAGAAATACTGTGTAAATGTGGAAGTAAGATAACCCATCTTAGGCCCACCCTAGGCCCCAACTGGACAGCGTCACTGACTTAAGATCAACCTTGATGCATTCAGAACCTCAAAGCAAAAAAAGAAAAGTCAATATAGTTCATGGGAAAACTCAACGCCAAAAACCTGTTAAGTTACATGCCCAAACCCAGCAAATGTCTTTTCCTGTTTCGTCTGTCCTCAGGCCCCACAGCACAACTTTGTGCCAAGGGTGCTCTGGTACAAGAAGCCTGCCTTCAGGGCCAGGGAATGGATGCCTTTCGCAGAAACAATTGTACTGGGCTCAAACGCCAGCCTATTTCGCTATCTTGAATTAAATCTGAGGTTTACAAGCTCTGATCTTTTGTTCACCCAGGCTACCAGGTACAAAAATAACAAATAAAAACTGTTTGGTATCTGAGTGGAAATACACACCTGCAATAAAAAAAAACAACTTGCTTCTCAGCAAGTGGGTCCAGACTTCCACAGGGTCTCAGCCTGTCCTTAAGGCCCTCTACCAAACCAGAGACCTCATGTCTCATCCCATGTCTCATCCCTGGGTCACCAACTGGTCTCTCCTACCTGCCTCTTCTCTGGTGCACAAGCTGCCAATCTCACCAACAACCTACAGTTCTCCTAAAACACTCTCTGGACTCTCCCAGCCCTAGGACAGCAGCCCCAGTCCTGGTTTCTCCGGGCCAGCCTCAGGGAAGGGCTCCCCTTCCTCATGCTACTGTCTGGACAGTGCTTGCCAGGACATGCAGCCCAGCCTGTACCAGTCTTGACTCACTAGAGTGCATCCTCCTCCTTGGGAGGCACAGACATGCAGAGCCAACCTCCAGCCAGCAGCAGAAGCCCGGCATAGCCACTGATGGAGGGAAATGCTGTGCCCAGGTACAGCAGTCTCATTCTTGAGCCTGAGCCCCTGCAGTAGGATCTTCCTCAGAGCCATTTCTCCTCTGTGAGAAACAAGACACCATCAGAGGCCTTAGTGTAGGCTGACAGGATGGAGCAGGCAGTCACAGCTCAACTCCAGGTGCCCCTACTCCCACCTTTCCTTTCTCATCTCAGGCTGCTTTCTGGTTCTCTAAAACTATAGTTTCATCTGTGCTACTCTTCAGAAACCAGCAGGGGGTAGGGGGGACTCATTAAAAAAAAAACAACCAACATGCCACTTCTTAGAACCAGTACTGTTGGCAAAGCTGTTCTGGGAGATTCACACTTCATTCCACCAATTCTTTCACAAAGACCTGAATCATTCTGCCCTAGTAAACTGGCCTGGCCTATGAACCTGTATATGCATAAGCCAATCTTTAACCAGATAGGAATCTCTCCATCAATTTTGCTTTGATGCCAACCTCACCACACAGACTAACCCAATAATGATGTAATGACGGCACCGGATGCCTGCCAATTGTTTTCCTTGCTCTGACATCACGTTTTAAAATTTATTCATTGATTTTTAGAAAGAGACAGGAAGGGGGGGGGGGAGAGGGTAGGAGAGAGAGAGAGAGAGAGAGGGAGGGAGGGAGGGAGGGGAGAGGGGGGAGGGGAGAGGGGGGAGGGGGGGAGAGGGGGAGAGAGGGGGAGAGAGGGGGGAGGGAGAGAGAAACATGGCTTTGTTGTTCCACTTGTTGACACATTCATTAGTTGATTCCTGTTACCTACCAGGGGGAGGTACCCCACAACCTTGGCATATTGGGATGATGCTCTAATCAACAGAGCTCCCTGGCCAGGGCATAAGTTTGTTCTTCAGTTCCCAAATCTTCAGAAGGTCAGCACCCATACAAAAGTTTGCATCACAATATACTGGACAAGGTGTTCACACCAGCCTGCTCCCTAGAAGCTCCCTTCCCAGATGATGAAGCAGGGAAATAGAATTCCCAGGACTAGCCCTCATCTGACTGTGGCCGCAAGAATATCCAAACAGG